AAGTATATATTCCAGTCAGTGTTCTGCAGGAGGTACAGAAATAGTGTAGTAGTTGTCTGACAACCAGAAAGAGCAAGGTAAAGTGCAAAAAAGCCATTTTTCCCAGATAAGTTTGCTGTTCTCTTGTACAGTAAGTTAGGGTGCATGCATAAATGCCTTCAGAGCTCTTGCAGTGACAGTCAGAAAATCTCAAGTGGGTCAGATGAAGAATTTTCAACTGTTTTATCAGAAATTAATTATGTTTTGGTGATGTCGTAATTGAAATATTGAAAAATAAGGCTGGATTGTGGCCGAGCGTTCCTGGGGCGTATGTTGTGATGTGGAAGAAACATGCGCCCCTGAAGGAGCAGCCTGTCTCGAGAAAGAGATTGATTGCTTAGAAAAACCCAAGCTTTTGCCTTGGGCTACTCCATAGTTAGCTTAAAGATTTGCCTGTAACGTGGGCTAGCCTGCACCGAGTTAATAAGGGCTAGCTTAATAGCGTTGTTTCTATTTTGAAAACCTAACAAAATAAAGCGCCTTTTTTTTTTTTTCCTGGAGAAGGGAAAGAAAGGGAGAGCGGTTCTGGGTGAAGCTTCAGGATATTTTCGTTTGCAATTCCTTTTTCTGAATAATGTGACTTAAAAACAAAATCAACCCCCCGAAAACAAAGAGGTTGCACTTTGCTGTGTAACTCGTTCTCTATTAATAAATCCGCTATTACAGTTTGTGTTCAAAACAACCATGCAAAACACAAGCCTATATTTCAAGTAACATAAAACCGTAAAATTGCAGCATAAGGAGTAGTTGATCCACTCATACAGCATTTTCCTCACCCTGAGACCAGGAAAAGAAGTAGTTTGTTGGAATCCCATGTAACAAAGTCATGCGGTTTCAAAACCCAGAGGGTCAGGAGTGACAGCCAAAGCTCTGGTACTTGCCAACGCAGCAGCTCTCAGTGCTTTCCTGTGCTGAAGTTGTACAGTGTGGAAGGTTAAGACATGGGAGAGGACTGTTTGTCAACCTGTTGTAAAAATTCTGTGTAGAAATTGAGAGATAATCACAAGGGGCAGGAGAACTCAGCTGCATGATATGTGTGGCAAGATAACTATACTTCGTAGGCATGCTTTCTGCATTTTGTTAGATTCTAGAGTATTTTAAAGTATTTTCCCAAGCCAGGAGTAGTCTTGAGATGATACAGACATAAATTGCAGCTGTGTACCAGTGCAGAAAGGTGTAGTTAACCTTGCTGTACCTCATGCAGCCAGCAGGGAATCAAGCTGAGTACCAAGAGAAAGGAAGGCAACTCCAGGGCGTGGATGTGAGTAGTGACATGGACAGGAATATCTTCTGTCCTTAATATTTGATGTCCATCAGCCAGCTAGCTTCTGCCATCTGCTCTTTTTTTCAGCCCTTAAACCGAGTCAGGCAGTTGCTTTTATTTCCTTCATGTATTGGAAGTGCAAGCATAGAATATGCTTGACTGGGTAATATAGGAAATAGTGCTTCAAGGAAACTAACTTAATATTACCAAACACTGCGCTGGTAGGAAACTGAGTACTGGCCACGTTGTACTTATGCAACCTTTACAGCATACGAACATTTTGTTTGTGTGCCATATCTGGAATTGTGATTTGCTACTCTATTTTTAGCACTGCTCTTTTTAAAGGAGAAACTTCCATTCTGGTCTGTGCAAGGCCTTTGTTTGACTCTGCCATGTCTTCAAACCTGACCACTGCTTTGACACTCATAAATATTGGGCTTGTATAGGCAGCCGCATCCTTTGGTTGCTCCATATGTGGGAGAACACTTATTAGATGGATGTTTCCAGGAGCAGACACATACCGGGCAACACAAGAGCATGCCATGTGATAACTGATTCACCCACCCTGGTGCTGATTTGGGTAAACTGTTGCTTTTCTGATAGTTTTAAACTGCATTTCGGGTTGTCCAATGTGTTGGGGTACAGGCTCACTCTTCTCTGAAGAAATGCACTTTGTGTTCCTGTTGTCTGGGCATGGTGGGATTTTGGCTGGAAAAATGCTTTGCCTGGAAATGGCGTCATTTACAAGTTGTGATTGTACAAAAATTACACTGAGCCTCACATTTCTTTATACACCTAAAATAAATTTCTTAGCTGCAGAGTGCATGAACTCCTCAAAATAGTTCAAATCGGAGGGTCTGCCTTGAAGTCTGCTTTTGCAGCAGCGCTTCGTGAAATCTGAGTGTCTTAAACGTGCACGCAGTCCTCCTACACACACAGAGCTCTCAGCTTGTGACTTGAATTCTGCTACAGCAGGAGCATCTCTGGGGTAGCAGCAGAATGCCGCTTGACGATGCTCTTCACTGTACAAGTTAAGGAGGCACACATAGGTCATAAACACCCCAAATGGCAAGCAGTCTCTATATAATGAAACTTTAAACTTTCAAGGAAATGTTGAGGCTAAGATTTCTTTTTATTGGGAAGAGTTCAACATGAACCATCTCAGCCATATCTTTGGAACTCTGACCAAAAGAATAGGGAAGGCGTGACGATAAAGCGTGAAAAACGCTCTTCATCCCTTGTTTGAGGAGATGGCAAGGTTGAAGACAACCTAATTTGTCTGTGTTAAATCAAATTTTGCTAAGGCAAGAGGCTGCACATTGCTGCATTTACTGTAATATAAAATAATTTAAAAAATTAATTTCCTCAAAAAGTCAGCATTGATGCATGGTGGCAGAAGCTGCCTTCTGCCCCCTGCTGATGTATCCAGGCCGCTTTACTTCAAATTGGCTTGATAGGAAGTTGTTTTAAAATAAATGCTGCGGTCTCCTGCTCTCAAAACAATGAGTTCACTACACCTCTGAAAAATCAGGTTGCTTATGTAAGTACCTAAATAAGGCTGTATCATGCCAGTTTGAAAATAATTTTGTAACTTCTGTATGCCTCCTCTTCCCACAAAGGAGATACGGTGGCATATACGGCAGCAGGGCACTGTGCTTAAAGGCTGCTTTTTATTTGAAACAGGTAAGTCTTGGAGAAGGCAATTTAATCTGGTAATAGACCCAATGTCCCCGAATCTGGGCGTTTGCTCTTGGCTGGGTTGTCATAGCTGTGGCTGAGCTGTGTTCCGATAGCCCTGCCGCAGGTAGGAGAAGGTTGAACCTGATAACTTCCAGAGATCCTTTCCAGCCAATATGCCTGTGATTTCGTGATCAGCCTACCATACAGCACAGAAAATGCACGTGACTTGCCTAAACTTCATCTTTTTATTGAGGTCAAACCCTGAGATTGCTGTATTGAGCCCTGATCTTGGTGGGAGACTGCAGTTGTCTGTAGGGCAAAAATACCCAAGTAGAAGTGAATTGAGGGCCAGGGCAGTCTAGCAGCTATTAGCAGCATTATATATATATATATATATATGTGTGTGTGTGTGTGTGTGTATATGTGTGTGTGTGTGTGTATATATATATATATGTATATATGTTGTGGTGCTTCAGCAGCTCAGGATGGAAGAGGGAGGCTTAACTTTCCGAGCAGTATGGAGATAGAGAGAGGAGGAGTCACGTACAATGCTGATAATCCATTTAGAAACTAGGAAAATTTGAAATAATGTACATGAAAAGCTGTTCTTTCCCTGTTAAATCTTACACGATTGTGCACTGTGAAGTCAGAAAACTACACAGAAAGGTAAAAGCAAAATCCTAGCCTTTATTAGATAGTGTATTTTGAGAGCCATATACCAGCAAAACAATTTTATCCTCCAAGTCTGACTTAATCCTTAATGTGTTTCCCAAAGCATGAGCTTTTCGTACAGCAGGCTGAGGGCGTTATCTCTCATCTCTGTAATGACCTCATATTGAGAAGTTATGGGACTGAGTTGTTCCCTTTCGATTGGCTGCGTGCTACCTGGCCACCTCTTTCTTCCTTTCAGTGGCTGTTTGCAGAGCCCGGGACTTTGCACCCTGTGTAACTGATCTTAATTTTTAACAAAATAGTTTATGTTAATGCCATTTCCCCCTGCCCCCTCTCAACTTCATATGGAATTTAATTGGACTTTGTTCCGTGTTACAGGCTGAATGCGCTTAATTACTTCTGGTGCAAAGTTAGAGACTTTTGTTTCAGAAGTGGCTCTACCCCAGAAGAGTGCTTTGGCAGTGGGCAGCTATCACACCGTGACCCTCGGTTGTCGGCCTGGCCCTGTAGCAAGGTGGCACTATGCTGGATCCTGGAAAAAGTGTCTTTCAGTGGAGCACGTAGCAAGAGAAGAGAGTTGGCGGGGACTTTTAAAAAGGGACACCAGCTCTGAATTTACATGCATACTGCCAGGAGCTTCATGCAGGGGGAAAGCAGAGCGGTGGGAAGAGATGCTCTTCAGGCTTGTGGAAGGAGGGAGATGCTGTTCCCATGAAGCTCTGTATTTCTTAGTTGTTTATGAGGGTGACATGTACACGATTAGAGAATGTAATGTATCTTCCAACATTGAACCTGGATTAAACTAAAGGGCCAGGATGGTCATAACTAGCTGGGGCTCTGAAGGAGTGGCTGCAAAGCATCCCTCAGTGGACTCAAGGTACCTGTATCACTGTGCTTTGTTTCTCCAACGCTTTGTCTCAAGGGTTTGCAGAGGAATCCTGAGCTTGTGGGCTGTGCCAGACCCAGAAACAGTGACTGGACTCAGACCATACCTGAGCTGGGAAACACCGGGGGGATCAACTTCAGTCAGATAAATGCTATAGTAACCATGAAGCAACAGCTCTTTGCTGCAAAGAGGCTTTCACGGTTTTGACCTTTAGGCTTTTGTTTAAAACTTGTGGTGTTTGTTTACTGGGCAATTGCTGCAGTAGGTTACCGAGAGTACTGTGTGAGTGGAGTTTCTGTTGGAATAATTTATTTGCTTCTTTTAGGGCAGTAATTATTTACTAAGTATCAGCAGTTGTCTGGAATGTCTAGTTAATTATCAGCTCACCTCTGTGAAAGTGCTCATAGTGAAAATACTTAAATAAAAAATTGAAAGTTGTTCTTTTTCCACTCGTTTCAGGTACTGGGTCCATCTGTCACATCTGAATTGTGTTGTACTAATTCCCTAAGTACCACCTCAGACCATCTCCTTGATGCACACTCACAGCATCATGGCCAGTACTCAGGAGCGCCTGAGCTTGTCTTCCTCTCCAAACTCGGTCGGCAAGGCTTTCTGTGAAGATAAAGACTTTAGCAGGTTACATGATGAACATGCACCTACTGGAAACCACCCGTCCCCCGAGCTCATAGAGGATGTGCGTGAGAAGGGCTTGCTGCAGGCAGACCTCATCGAAAACATGAGCAGCCCAGTCACTGCAGCAGTGTTGACCAGCATCAGCGAGGACTCTAGGGACCAATTTGAGAACAGCGTGCTGCAGCTGCGAGAGCAGGATGAGTCTGAAACACCCATTCCTCAGGGCAACAGGAACACTATGGATGGAGAGAGCAACAGCGGGGCAGATGATGTTAAAGTCCAGTTCAACAGATCAGGCAGTGGGAGTGGTGGGTTTCTTGAGGGACTTTTCGGTTGTCTGAGGCCTGTGTGGAACATCATCGGAAAGGCGTACTCCACAGACTACAAACTGCAACAGCAAGGTAAGTAGGGGAAGCAAACCCATATTGCTTCTGGGGGAACATGTGGAAAGCTGGGAAAAAGCCCTGGGTTGCTTTCCTCATCTTCACGTGACCATTTTTGTCTTGTGCAGCCCTATTATGGGTTTGCAAAGAGAAATCCTGCACTGTACAGCCAACAGCTGTCATTTGTAGCAGAGGCAGCTCATGATGGAGCCAAAACCAAGTGCCTGTTCTGCCCCATGCCTTGGACTGTTGTGACAAGGTCTGAATCTGAACCAAGTGTTTGTGTAAGGGAGGACCAGAAAGAGTTGTGTTGAACACAGGGATTGTAATAACTACTTCATTTCTGCATTTTCTTCATGCCAGATGAAAAAACACAGGCATAGGTATTTCTACTCCTGTATACGTGAAGGCTGTCCCCAGCTGACCACCAAACAGCAGAAATATTGCTTCTCTGTGGGCATATTATGCTAACTTTTATGTCTTTTTGTTCAGGGGTAATTTTACTCTCTAAATACCATTCAGTACTTCCCTTTCCAGAAATATGTCCTTTAATGTTTATACCTTTTTCATTTAGATGTATAAATGTGTATGTGTGTGTGTAAGTATAACTATATATATAAAAAATATGTAGTTTGGGAATAAGCAATGTCCCAGTCAATCGCATACATAGATCTTTACGGGTTATTGAAGGCTAAAGAGCAGAGTTTGCTGTGCCTTTGCTGTCTAATTTCTCCCCTAGCACAGGGGGAGGGAAGTGGCAGATGGGAGAAGAACAAGCTGTCATTAGAATTAAGGAGCTGAAATGGTTGAGGCTTATTGAAAATGGGAACAGCCTGGCCACCATACTATACTGTGGGGTAGAAGTCTCCTGTATTGCTGTGATCATGACTCAGTATTAATCAAATGGTTTTCTGGCATCGACAAATTATAAGAGATGTGGTCAGAAAACCCATCCGAGTGATTCAAATCTAAAGCCCGGAGCTGGGTTGGGGAACAGTTCCTAATACGAGGGAACAAAGCTGTTAAATAACATGTTAGGTGAATCTGCCTTGGAGTAAACTTACTACTACTTCTTCGAGTCAATCGTTTCCAGTTCATAGCTTGGAAATCCACCCCTGCACTGCAGAATGGCAGGAGACTCCTAATCAGCAGCCTCTCGTCTGTCAGACCTGTGGGCTCAGTAGGAGTGGTCTTGGATTTGAAATCCTTTGGCAAAGCTGGTTCTAAGTTTTGTCTGCATGTTGTGAACTCGGTATGTCACATGTGGCTGAGTCTACAAATAAAAAAAAAAAAAAGACTGCAAAGTCCATGGGGAATTAACACTCTTGGGGCGATTGCACAATATGTGGAATCAGATGTGGTGGGTTTTGGAAGAGACGGCATCTGGCTGGGGAGCCTCCCTTGTGAAGGAAAATGAGCTTTGGAACAGCCAGGTGACATTCAAAGGAGGCATGGTGTCAGCCAGCTCCTTTGGTTTATACTTTTTTTTTTTTTAAGTGAAGTTGAAACTTTCCAAGGGAGGGACACAGCTGCAGAGTTACATCGGCTGCTTCCAGCAATTCTGTGACTATCCCACACAAGCGGTGTCTCACCAGGTCAGACCTCTCATCACCGCTGGCTGCTGCTGAGCTATCGTGTGCTTGCCTGTAAGCTCGAATGGGTAGCTTCAGGAGAGCTACCTGTGAGGCCAGGAGATTGTGTTTTGCTTAATTGGGACAGCAGACGCATTGGAGACCACAGTTTAATATGTTTTTTGATGGCCCACGGGGGTCACTTTCTTTTGTATGAAAGTCACTAATAAAAAAGGTGGAAGCGCTAACTAATGAAAATGAGCAGCAGAGCGCGTTGTGTTTGGGGGGTGCATGTAGAGCTCCTCTTCGTATGCACAGAAGTATCTTTCTGTTCTCAGTTGCATGAGCGTGTTCAGGGCTATAGATTCATGGACGCTTTGCAGCTTGCTGTTGGCATTAGGCCCTTCCTAAAAGGGCAATTTTGAAATGGCTACAGATGTGGTAAGGCTGAAGATTAATTGGGATCTGCTATGTATGGCCTGTGTGGTTTAGCTGCATCTTCAATGTCTTCACCGTCATGAATGACAAGAAGATTTTTTTTTTTTAAATTTTTTTTTTCCTCTGGAGCAGATCAGTTAGACTGATCTCTGATGGTAGTAGTACACTTCTATTACCCAAGGATAAACTTCTTTAAACTGCTTCTGTGCTAAGACTTGACGATTTTGTCAGAATATTCATGTTCCCTTTTCCAGATGATCTCATTCTTGCTTCTTGCCGCCAGAAAAATCTTTGTATGTGCGTTTCATCAGCTACATACAAGCCAGCAGTTTAGTAACTGATGTACGTGAATGCTTTTATTTTTGCTGTCTTTTAGCAAGAGCACAGGGGATGCAAGGTTTGTGTTTGTGCAAGCGCTATGCGTTTGGAGAAGATGGGCTGAGGAAATGTTTCTGACTCCTTCAGCAGTAAAGAGAGGTTTGCGGTGGCCTTTCATTCCCCTGGGAGCTTATTTACAGCTTTGGGCTGGTGCCACAGATCTGTGCAGATGATTTTCCCCCCCTTCATGAAACAACCTTAAGCCTTACCCAGGAGCAATCCTTTGTGCTGAGCTGAATCAACAACTGGGGTAGGAGTCCAGTTTGGACCTGCAGCCATGGGGGACTTTGCATTGCCTGCAGATGCTTCCTACTACTTTTTGCTGCTCACCAGCATCCCTGCTTTGGATCTCCTGCAGGCCCAAACTCTAGGACATGGTGGTGGTGTGGTTGCAATTAGTAAAATATAAATAGGTTTCATGCCCTTTGCAAATGTCTGATGCTTGAATCCATATTGCCTGTGAAGCCAACTGTATTGCTTGGCTCATGACTTGGTGAATGGGGGCGAAGATGAGAAGAACTTTTACGTGATTCCATATTATCTTCTTTTTGAAATTACTCCTCCAGTTCCCTTCTCAGTATCTGAGATGGTCATCAAGAGGAGTGCATTTCTGTGCTTCCCTTGAGGACCCGCACTGGGTGGAGCTTTTGGTCAGCTGGAAGGTGCTACAGGGTGGTCTGCTGGTTGACCAGCAGGGAGTGTTTGCTTTTGTATCATTCAGTGGCTGCCAGCTGGTTATCTGAAGTTTAAGTATATGGGGTTTGACCCATAAAATCACTCCTGACTATGTTTTTCTGGTTTTTTTACGCTGCTTTCTAAAGGCTGTTGGTGAGTGCGTTCAGGGAGATATACTTAGTTCTTTAATTTGCGTCTACCAGTTATTTAATTTGGATTGTTGGGACTCTATCGCTTTATAGTAAGGCTTGTTTGTGTTTTCTACAGGCTCATTAGACTTCCTAGCCATTTCCTTTGAATTAAGAATCTGTCTTCAGGAGTTGCTTTCACCTTCCCTTTCACAAGTTACGTGTTTACCATCATCGTGCGCATTTTTGTGTAAACCTGAAGAGCAGGGTGCTTTATGAAGTGTGCTTGTGTTTGTGGGGTTTTTTTGTAAACCAGAGATGCTTCTTGTCATAATGCCAATGCTGGCGAGTAGCCAGCGTTGGCAAACGGCAAAAATTTGCTTCAAATAGATTGACTCAATGGCTCAGGCTGCTCCTGCGTTTCTTCCCCATGGGAAACAGATTCCCATCATTCTACTCAAATGGTTCTTAATCACCTTAGAAATGCAAGCTCTAAAATGCAGCGGCTGGGTTATTTCCTGCTGCTATTACACTTTAATTTATTTAAGGGAAGTATCCCGCAGGTTTCTTTAGGCCCAGAAGAGTCTGGAATAAAAATTGCTCTGTCCTGATAGGAGATATCCTCATCTCTCTTCTGCTAGAGGAGGTGGGAGTGCTAGGAGAGCTGTAGCAAGCCCTGAAGTCTGGGCAGTCTCAAAGGACGTTTAGCCAAGCAGTGTTAATGGACTTTTTGAACATGGCTGGCAGTACTGTGTAGTCTTGATTAGTGCCTCCAGATGTGTTTCCTAGCCACTTTGCTGATCATTTGAGGCATTGCTCTTCTAGACGGGTACTTTGCCTTCACTGTGGTTAGTCATCATAGCCATGCACCCAAGTTCTTGCAGATGGTTTATGCAAGTCCTTTTCTGTTTCAAGCTGTTGGTTGAGATCACAGATCTCTGCATCACCTCTTGCGTGCAGTGTTTCTTGTTGTATGTGCTGTGTAGATGCGCCATTGCTGGGACAGCCGTAATTCATCATTCTTTGCTTCAGCGTGGTGTGGACGGTCTATACAGGTGGTGGGGAAAGCTTTGTTTATAACCTGCTGTCTGGGTGATGTGCACGGTCTCAACTTTCAGCTGTATTTAGCTGGCAGTGTGTTGAGTCCTCTCTTTTCCAGCCTTGCCAATTGCCTCTCTGCAGGACTGATAAGACTAACTTACACCTCAAATGCTGGGTTCAGCGTTGGGCCCCTCACTCCCAGAAGGACATGGAGGGGCTGGAGCGTGTCCAGAGAAGGGCAAGGAAGCTGGGGAGGGGTCTGGAGCCCAAGGCTGCTGGGGAGCGTCTGGGGGAGCTAGGGGTGTTCAGCCTGGAGAAGAGGAGGCTGAGGGGAGCCCTAATTGCTCCCTACAACTGCCTGAGAGGAGGGGGGAGCCGAGGGGGTCGGTCTCTGCTCCCAGGGAACGGGTGATGGGATGAGGGGAAACGGCCTCAAGTTGTGCCAGGGCAGGTTTAGGTTGGACATAGGGAAAAATTCCTTCCCCTCAAGGGCTGTCAGGCACTGGAAGGGCCTGCCCAGGGAAGGGGTTGAGTCCCCACCCCTGGGGGTATTTAAAATCCGGGCAGAGGAGGTGCTTAGGGCCAGGGTTTAGTGGTGGGATGGCAGGGTTAGGGGAACGGTTGGGCTTGGTGAGCTTAAAGGGCTTTTCCAACCTAAATGATTCTATGATAACTTTGTAATACCGACCCTTGTCACCCTGTTGTCCTTGAGAGTGGTTGTAGGGAGCACATACACAGGGTAGTTTAGATGTGTTTTTTAATTGGTGGATTTGGGTTGTAGTAGAAAAATGCAGGTTTGCATCACTAGCAAACCCTGGTGTTCAGTTGAATGTAGTACAGTGCTTTTCTCCACCAGCATTAGTTTCTTTGGGAAGCTTTTCAGTGCTCGACATGTTATGGGAACCAAATGAATCACTGATGCTGGCCGTCTTGAAACGTAGTAATGTGCTCCTGCACAGTGAAAGGGTTTTTCTGGATTTTTGTCTTACTTTACATACAGTTTTACTCTTTGTCCTTCTTGAAATTCCCAAGGATGTAGGATGTCTCACTGATTGTTGCTACCCTGAAACCTCTTCCCTGAATTGTGCCCTTGATGATCAGGGTGCAAGTGGGAGATGGGAAAGGATATATCTTAGCAAATAAATATGAAAACACTTTGCAGGAGGAAGCGCCTGAACTTTTGCTTGCTTTGTTTGCAATCTCTCTCTGCCTTTCCTGTTGCGGAGGTTAATAGGAAATGTTAAGAGCAAATTAGGGCTCCTAGGTGATAGCAATGTAGTTACCTGTTACTGCTCACAAACTTTGGGTGCTTCAGGGAAGTAAATGGTAATGTTGTGTGCTTTATACAGGAAAGGCAGTCCTCTCGTATGTGAAGAAACAGCTATTTCAGTACAACACAACGGTTTCAGTGTTGCCCATGTAAAAATACTGTTCATCAACAAACACCAAAATCAACTGTATTTGCCATGTTCTTTCAGAAGCATTGCACTTGTGAATTAAATAGAAATAGGGATCTTCTCAATTCGTTTATGAATTTCCTTCTCTGCTTATGTTTTCCTTATTTAAAGAGCCATCTTTAAATGTCTAAGTGTCTAAAGAATTAAATACCCATTATAAGTATCGTGACAAAAAATTGCTCCAGATGTTTGGTGAAGAAGAATGCCCTGTGGTCAAGACAGTGGTCACAGCATGCTTTGTGCATCAATTTCTGTTGGGTTCTTACACGGGCAGGCATTTCTTGCTTCAATACCAAAGGACACATTTGCTGGTAGGCGATAGCGCCTTCGCAGCGGCATCGTAGTCTTGAAAATTGAGCATAGGGACTGTCCGCTGCAAATCCATGGTTACTGGAGTTGCTCAGTTATGAGGCATTTCAGCTGGGAGCTGCATGCGCTGTCTTAATGTTTTTGTACAAAGTAAGTTTGCAAGTGCATATATTGGTATGAAAAATAGACTTGTGTCCATGAAGAAACACGCACTGAGGACTGAACTTTGCCCTGCCAAGTCGGAGGAAATTTTTGCTGTAGATTAACAATGCTTTAATTTATTTTTTTTTGGATCAGTGAGCATAATGAGCGCTGGGGTCTGGCTCACAATGGGAGCTGGCTTTCCTTGGCCATGCCTGGAGAGCAGTCAATCGGCAGGCGGCATCCAGCTAGCGTCTGACTGCTGCAGGAATGATCTGAGGGAAAGGTTTGAGTCAGGATCAGTCCAGAGACAGTTTGGGTATATCAGTTTCCCTTCAGTGGTGACAGTATCTCAGGTGAACGCTTTTGCTAATCCCCATTTTAGCCCTGGGAACACCCCGATGGCTTGGGGACCGGGTGAAAGAAGGCACATCTGTGTAGTCATCTGAAATAGGGATCTATACGGGCCTGACTTTCTTTTATCTCAGAAATCAGGGAGTTGCTTGTTGGTTTTGCTGCTAAATAATTTATTCCCTGAACTTACACATTTATTGAGTTACAGTAAATAAATTATTGCTTGCCTTTTATCTGGCTGTTTGTGGGATGCTAAGGTAATTTGAAGGTGACTCGCAGACAACAAGGCTTTTTGTTCCGATGGGTACAACTGCCTTGAAACAGTCTATACAGTGCTACTGGACCACTCTGGCAGCGTCCCTACAAGGTGCATGAGGGTACCTAAGAGGAGGAACTGCTTTAGATTTTTTTGCCTGTTTGACACTGATATACACAATATTGGTGTGGGAAAGACCTGTTTCTGTGACTGGTGGTTAATGTGCTTTGTGCTGGGTGACTTGGCGGTTGCTGGTCTGTGTTTTACAACTTGCCACCTCCAACTTTCCATTTTATTTCCTTTTTTTGCCCTGTTTCGGGGTGGGGGATGACCTCAAATTTTTTTTTCATCGGTTGCCAACGTGAAATCTTCTTTTCCTACCTGTGCTTTTCAGTGGAGTCGTGTATTTTATAAGAGATATCATCATTGTTCAATTTTGGAGTACAGGACCTGCTCCCTAAATTTCCAATCCAGTGTCCCTGGTATGTGAAATCGCTGCCTGCCAAGTCGAAGCGGCTCACCCAAGTGTCTTTTACGTTATTTCTTTCGCTTGCCTGTGCCTAGATACCTGGGAGGTCCCGTTCGAGGAGATCTCGGAGCTGCAGTGGCTGGGCAGTGGTGCGCAGGGAGCTGTCTTCCTGGGCAAATTCCGGGCGGAGGAGGTGGCCATCAAGAAAGTGAGAGATCAGAACGAGACTGATATCAAGCACCTGCGGAAACTCAAACATCCTAACATCATTGCGTTCAAGTAGGTTGTGAAACTTGTTAGAAACATACCTTTAGTAGCATTCGCGTATGTACCCTGGCCAAGTTGTTAAAACCCAGGGACTAAGCTGTCTGTAGGACAAAACAGGTTGTCATCCTTCCTCTCAAACTGTCACACATTCTTGTGCAAACCAAGCTATGGATGCCATTCCCACCCAATGCTGTGCTTCGTGCGCAGGCTCTCAAAAGGCCCGCTGTGAACCCTACAAATCTGCAGGTGTGGAAGCTGAAGGAAACCCACCCCTGTCATCAGGGAGGTTCCTCCCATGCAAAGCATGCAGGAAACGTTCCCATTCCTGTTCAGTAAGGCGGTATTAACAGAGGTTTGCCCAGGCAGAGTAAGCAGGTTACTCTCCTGCTCCTCGATTGCCACCTTTGAGAGTTGCTGTGGGACTTTGACTCTGCTGATCCTCAGTAGCTGTGTGTTTTCTTTGACAGGGGAGTTTGCACTCAAGCCCCATGCTACTGTATTATCATGGAGTACTGTGCACATGGGCAGCTCTACGAAGTCCTGCGAGCAGGGCGGAAAGTCACCCCTCGGCTGCTTGTGGATTGGTCCACGGGGATTGCAAGTGGGATGAATTACCTGCACCTTCACAAAATCATCCATCGAGACCTCAAGTCACCAAAGTGAGTCTCTAGCTACTTAAACATCCCCCAGTTAGGGTTGTCTTTTTTTTTTTTCATTGAGGAATAGTTTAAAGTTAGGTCAAAAACCCCATTATTTTTTTTCCATGTTGACTTAAAACTAAGGAGAGTGAAGCTAATGAAATTTATTAGCACTCCCCTCCTGTGCCACAATTTAATGAGACTGGAAATTTTACTGCTATCTTACATGATAAATAGCAGTCAGGAAATATTTCTAATGACGTGATGGTGTCTGGTCCTTTTTCAACATGGGATATTCTGTTGCCTTCTGCTTTTTTATTTTTCCTTCTTAATTGTTCTTTTATAACTTTCCTGGTTTTCTGGAATGAGTCTTTCTCATTTCTCTTACTTTCTGACTTAAACTATCTGGCTGCTTATATTCTTATTCCCCAGATGTTTGTCACTCCTTTAGCCCGCGATGTGACTGTGACAGTGCGTTAGGATACTAATTTTAGATGGTTTATAGTACAGTTTAAGGTACAGCTTTACTAAAGCTTTGAAACACCCCCAGATACAGTGAATCTTCATGACTTGTTAATTTGCAATTCTATCAGGATTGATTTTTTGACTTGTAGCATTTAGAAATGCATTTGAGGCACAAAGCAGAACGAGCACAAAGAAAGTGAGCGCTTTCCTTGGTGAAAATGCATAATCTTTTTTTCTTGTGCTGCAGTTGTGAACAGCGTGGCCTCATCAACTGTGTTGGTTAAGAAGGGGTTCACTCCCAGTGGCTGTTGTGGTACAAGAAAAATGGCAAAATCCTGATTTGTTTTTTTTTTTTTTCTTTCCTCCAGCGTTTTAGTTACACACACAGATGCAGTAAAAATTTCAGATTTTGGTACATCTAAAGAACTCAGTGATAAAAGTACCAAAATGTCTTTTGCGGGAACTGTGGCTTGGATGGCCCCAGAGGTGATACGCAATGAGCCCGTCTCTGAAAAGGTGGATATCTGGTGAGTAGTATGAACGCTTCAGTATCTTCACCTTCCGTTCAGCCACTTGGTTTCCCAGCACTTTACATATTCAGCAACCTTTTCTCATTCTAGGTGTGGGGATAGTTTGCTCTGTGGTGGACTGTTGCTTTCTCCATCTGCCTACTACCCTGAAATTTGTTGCTGATCCATGGGATCAACTTCTGCAGCCAGGGTATTTTTCACTTGCTTTCTACCCTCTTCAGGGCCACGCTTGAGCTGTAGGGAGGCCTCTACTCAGCTAGCTTGAAGGGTCTGACCACCTTTTGCTTTCTGCATGCCAGCCTTGGCTGTTACAGGTACAGCCACAGGATTATAGTCCAGTGAATCTAACTCCGGATCCAAGAGGGAGGAAAGCAGCATGCGTTGTAAGAGTTGTGAATGCCTATTTCTATCCCATGTGAAATGTACTCTGTGCCCAAAGGAACAGAAAGAAAGGTGCAGATCTCTGTGTTGTTAAAAGTGCTTGAGAGAGGACTCAGCCTTGGAGCTGCTTTGGGATGCCTCTTCCCAGGTTTCAGAGTCCTCAAGGGAACTGCATCTCTGGTTCTGCCTTGTTATTTCTGTGTATTAAATGTCAGGAGCCAGGACAGATGCCCTTCTCCTGACTTTACAACCAGGGTGAATTTTCCTTCTTGTGGTCAAGATTTCCTGTAGAGAAAGGGAAGGTCTTATAACCTGTGGTATACAGCTCTTCTTGTGCCTGCAGTGTTTTATGTGTTCATTTGGTGTGGATGTAGAAGGCCATAGCATAGCCGGCTCTTCTGGGAGAAACTCTTGGATTGCTTTAGAAAGAAAATACACTCGCTGTTTGTCTTCTGAGCTCTTCACTTTGAATCACAGGTTCATGACAGGGAATGGTGCTGGATTTCCACCCTCCACTTTCTGTCCTTTAGATTGGCTTAGGTTCAGCAATATTGCATGGAACATTGTGCCCAATAAAAACCAGCCGCTAGCTCTGCTGAGGACGGTGGGCACTCCTTGACTCCTTTCCTTGGTGACTTAAGAGATGTTGCTCTTTGGTGCAAACCTAGACTTGCCTTTGGTGCAAGTTCCTCTTCAGTCCGCTGCAGTAGTGATTGCTCAAACTCCTCGACATCCATTCCTTCGCCAAGATGAGTAAAAGCGATGTTCGTGAATGCTGACAACAAATGAGAACAGTTCCTAAGCTGCTTATATGCCTGCTCTCTCTCATCTTTAACAGCATGCTTAAAAAAAAATAAATCTATAATCTTATCAGGAGTCTTGAAAATCCTTTGTCAGTTCTTAATCATAACAAAGCTGAAACCAGATGGGGTTTCCTGGTAGTTTGTCCAACCACCTGGATCCCTGCTTTCCTGCAGCCCACAGAAAAACAAAAATTGAGAGAAAAAATGTTCAGATACTCCTTGGGTTGGTTGGGTTTTTTGTGGTTTGGTTTTTTTTTTTTTTCCCCCCCCACAACAGATGGGGTTTCCTGGTAGTTTGTCCAACCACCTGGATCCCTGCTTTCCTGCAGCCCACAGAAAAACAAAAATTGAGAGAAAAAATGTTCAGATACTCCTTGGGTTGGTTGGGTTTTTTGTGGTTTGGTTTTTTTTTTTTTCCCCCCCCCACAATTTGAAGCCAATGGGGTTTGAAAGTGCAGTGTTTCTCACATGAAGTTCTGTTTCCTGACTTATGGTTGTTCAGACCAGTTTGTCCCTTAGATGTTCTTCTGTACTTAATAAAAGCAACTTGATATTAGTACAAGCCAGAAACACACTTCTCGCTTTTCACCTGGTTTGGCTTGTCAGTGAGCTCGGCAGGGTCGGTGTCCCATGGACGGATGGGGCATGCAAGTAAGGTGATCCATCTGGATTTGAAATTGAGATGCTGGTTAATGTGGTGTCAGTTCTCAGCAGCATTTTGTTTGCCTCTGTACTGACTGGTTTGATATTTCTTTGGTGTTTTATTGGGAGAAGACTGTAAATAAAAAAAACTGTTTGCAGTTATACATTAAGGTTTTCATAGAATCATAGAATGTTTTGGGTTGGAAGGGACATTTAGAGGTCACCAAGTCCAACCCCCCTCCTGTGAGTAGGGACATCTTTAACCAGATCAGGTTGCTCAGAGCCCCGTCCAACCTGGTCCTGAATGTTTCCAGGGATGGGGGCTCCACTGCCTCTCTGGGCAACCTGTTCCAGTGTTTCACCCCCCTCAGTGTAAAGAATTTCTTCCTTATATCCAGTCTAAACCTACCCTGATTTAGTTTAAAAACATCACCCCTTGTCCTGTCACAGCTGGCCCTACTAAAAAGATTTTCTCCATCTTTCCTATAGGCCCCCTTTAAGTACTGAAAGGCTGCAATCAGGTCTCCCCGCAGCCTTCTCTTCTCCAGGCTGAACAAGCCCAACTCTCTCAGCCTGTCCTCATAGGAGAGGGGCTCCCAAGCTTCTCTTGATGCAGCCCGGGGTAGGGTTGGCCTTCTGGGCTGCCAGTGCACATTGCCGGCTCATATCCATCTTTTCATCCATCAGTACCCCCAAGTCCCTCTTGGCAGGGCTGCTCTCAATCCTTTCTTCCCCCAGCCTGTATTGATACTGGGGGTTGCCCTGACCCAGGTGCAGGACCTTGCACTTAGCCTTGCTGAACCTCTCATGAGTTTCACACAGGTCCACCTCTCCATCTTGTCCAGCAAGGACCAGCTTTGGTCCTTGCTGATCATTTCACTAAGAAAGAGAAGCAAAGTGAGTTTCCTTACCTGTATCTTTCCATTATTGTAATAGGAGGTTCTTTTCCAGGCAAAGTTCTCTTAATTATTTGTTTCTTTCTTTTGCCTTCCTTTCTTCAGCACAAAAGAAATACCAGATGAGACTGCATGTGCTTTTGATCCTGACACTTACGCACGTTGCATTTGTTTCTTCATTTCTACATTGCAGTAGTTTTAGCGATGAGTCTCAGACCTGTGAAACTCTTACCTAGGAGTACACGTAACAGCAGAGGGAGCTTTTGGCTAGAGGAAAAAAAAAGTTAGATGAAATGTAAAATAAACCACCCACAAAACACAATCTTGCTTCTGTTGTCTCTAAGGCACTTATCAGTTCTGTCTGCTCTGTAGACTTTTGACTGTCCTTATTGGTAAGAACAGATGATCTACTGTCTCAGAAAAGCTTTCCTCTTCATTTAACCTAAGTAAGATTTCATCTATACAGAAAAGCTTCTAAGGCGCTTTCAGGATTTTTAAAATCTCGGAAAGAAATAGGGAAGGGTGGGTGAAAACCCAGTGTGGCTTGGTGTTCAGCCCAGTGCTGGGGCAGAGGAGGAAGAGGCACCTCATGTATGAAATAGCTATTCTTGGCTAAAAAATAATATGCAAACGCTGTTGCACCTATTTGCAATTTCAGATCAGACATACCTGACAAAGAGAGTGATTTTCTTTAATTTTTTTTAAATATTTTTTTCCCCCAAGCTTCAGATGTTTCTGTTAAATTTAGAATTCACGCAGAAGTTTTTCTCCTGGTTTATTTCTTCACCAGGTCGTTTGGGGTGGTTTTGTGGGAGCTGCTTACAGGAGAAATTCCCTACAAGGACGTGGACTCTTCGGCCATCATTTGGGGAGTGGGCAGTAACAGCCTGCACCTTCCTGTCCCTTCTACGTGCCCAGATGGCTTCAAAATCCTCATGAAGCAGACCTGGTAAGAGCCTGAACCCTGCGCAGACCTAGGGCTGGCTCCCAGCTCTTGCCAGATGCCCAGTAAAACCCATGAAGCCAGAAGTCAGGGTGGGAGTGTTGAGCCCAGAGCAGAGGGCTCTTAAATACCTCACACTTGTCATGAGAACAGTAAGTTTTTAACATTTTTGATTCTGCAGTAACCTTCACAGAAGTGGTTACTTTGTTGTAGCAAAGTAGGTGATGGAAGGTAGCTCTGTGGGAAGAGAAAAAGAGCTGGAAGGAGAAGTAGGGGTAAAATTTTCTGGGTGAAAGGAAATGATTTTTCACTCTGAAACCCCCTTGTAATGACTGGCTTTTGAACTGGGCAAAGAGAAGTTCGAGCTTTCTGTATGAAACCAGGGTTTTACAGGTGTAGATATGGAAAATGCTTTCAATTTCTTCCACATACCAGATTAGAGTTGAAATTCTTTGTCTTGGGTTATGCATTAATGCTTTGTCTGTAATCACACCTTGACACAGAGTGTAAATGGTCTCCTAGCATTTTCTCACTCCATGAGCATTACCGGCCGTCCTCTTGATGGCAAGGGAAAAAAAGACAGGCCAGAGCATCTGTGGATCTTTTCAGGTGGCTGTTTACCCCCCTGACCCTGAGCTGCAGCAGGTCCTGCTGTTGTGGTATCTGTGCTGAGACGTGCGCTGCCTGGCTGTGCTTCTACGCCTGGCTGCAAAAGGCAGGAAAGCAGTTTGTGCAGCTCTGAACACTGAGTACGTACACTTGTATCCCCACCTAGTGGAAGTGGGAGGCTTGTAGGGGAGAGAGGTGGCTGAAGAAGCTGCTGCTTGTCCTGAGCGCTGGATCTGTGCAGCAGGTCTGGTGGGTTCGGTCCTGAAGCTCGTGTGCTTGTCTCTTTTCTCAGAGATACACATGTTTTTGTACTTGAGTGTGATCTTCCAGAGATGTTCAGTGTGTTACAATACTGTCTAGGCTCAGGCATTTACTATGTGGCAGCGTAGATACGTTCGGTGTTCATAGACACCCTGCTTTGTTGAATGCAAATTGTCATTTCTCCTAGCCTGATTATTCCCATTATAAAATTTGGAAATTAACGGGATAATGAACTGAGATCTGTTTCTTCTTGGCAAACAAGTTAGGAACAGTTTCAGTTCGTATCCTATCTTTCACTTTGTAATCATGTTTTCCTATATTAAGTGGTTTTCATCTCTTTCGTTTCTTCAGAATAGATCATCACAAGCCAAAAACTGAATACAGAACATCTCTAGCACAGTAAACTCATATTCAGCACAAGAGAAACCCCGAAAAGCTCTTTGCTCTAATCTGTCAGCTACGCTATTTGGCGAATATGCTCTAGTGAGAAGCCCTTTCAGAAGTGTAGGAGTAGCTAGCAAAGTTAACCTCATCTCATGCTTGGGTATTTGTCCATTTTGTTCCAGGCAGAGCAAGCCCCGGAATCGTCCCTCCTTCCGGCAGACACTGATGCACCTGGATATCGCATCTGCTGACGTGCTGGCTACTCCTCAGGAAACCTACTTCAAATCACAGGTAACTGGAGAATGGCTGTAGCCCACAAGTACTAGAGTTGGCTCCAACGATCTGATTTTGGAGGCAGCATCGAGTACAGCAAAAGTCTGGATCTGTGATTTTAGTTTGATTTCTGTGGAGAAGCAAACTGATGGGAATTTGAAAATATTTTACCCAGACTTTCACAAACTGAGACGTCTGCTGACTTTAGTCAGAATCTCAATGTTGTCTCATTCACTTCTCCCTGAGACTGCTGACTTCAAATGTTCTGCTCCAGCTGTTCTCCCAGTTCTATTGTACCATGAGACTGCTGAGAGCGGAACCATTGCATTTATAGTGAAGATGAGCAGGGCAGCCAGTAGGACAAAGAGCTGTTACAGGGCTATGAAAGGACCCTGTGACTTTCAGGGAAGATCTAAAAGTGTGTTCTTGGAGATTCCTCTGAGTCTTACCCAGCAAGCTAGTGTCTGCTCCCAAAGAGGGAATGAGAATGAAACCTTGCCTCCGGTAGAGAGGATCTATACAGTGTGGGGGTGCATGTGAGGAAGTGGGCACGTTTATTAAAGCTGTAAGAACCAGGGCTTCAGGGGGCAAATATAGTATACCCTAGAGACAGTCATCATTGTTGTGAATATATGTTTCCAAATCATAAGCCTTTCTGTTTACTTTAAATGCAAAAGGGAAAAAAATATTGTCTTAGGATGAAAAGAGCATTAGGAATTCTGAAAAAGATTTTTTTAGAAGATGCGGATAGGTTTTAAATGATCTAATCAGAACGCAAAATTGGAAATACCATTTGAAAATGCTGAAACTAAACATGCTGCAACGTTGTTACCCAAAATAATTCAGCTGACAGAAACCTGTTTTCAACCCAAACCTGTAATTTTCTGCAGACACAAAGAATGTTGCTCAAGAGTTTTTCTCTGATGTCACCAGGGTTCCCAATTCTTTGTAAATACCTGAAAGTAAATTGCTTCCCTAGGCTGAATGGAGAGAAGAAGTGAAGAAACATTTTGAGAAAATTAAAAGTGAAGGAACTTGTATCCACCGGCTAGATGAAGAACTGATTCGTCGTCGAAGAGAAGAGCTGAGGTCTGTTGACAGTCTTTTACGTTAACTGCTCACTTTCCCCATCCAGTCTTCTCTTCACCAGCTAAATGAGCCAAGGGCCCTCGGCTTCTCTTTATAGGGCGTGTGCTTCAGCCCCTTCATGCTGCTCTTGTATTGAGGACCCCAAAACAGGACTCAGTATTCCTGGTGGCATAAATCCAGGCAGTCTGAAGTCCTTGTGAGTCTGGAAACTGAAGTTCCTATGGCATGCCCCAGGCCTTGAGCCTTCCTTGGCTGATAGAAAACTATATATATGAGAGAGAAACAGTGGAAACTCTCCCTGCTCTTGGGTAGTCTGAACTGTTTGCTCCAGGCAGGACGGGAGAAGGCTTGTGTGTTTACCAGGGAATATTTCTGCCTGAGTTTTGGTGTTTGTGATAACATCATCCATTTCAGTGGAAAACACATCTTGCAGTTTGCTGTGAGCTTTCTCTGCCCTGGTACTTTCTTTGAATTAGTTATTTCCAGGAAAGTGAACACATTCCAATTTATCAGCCCACTGAAATTAATTTTGAACATTAGACCAACTTAAAGAAGAAAGCAGAATGTTTATTTAAGCTAGTGTTATCTCCTGTGATACAAATTTGCAAATACAGTTATGACGGAGAAACATAAAACACCAAGTAACAGTTGTATGTCAAACCTGAGAAGCCAAAGGAAACCCTGTTCAGCCAGTTGGATGTAGTTGTTGATCAGTGTTCCCTAGCCTGTGGGAGCTTTTGATGGTCACGTCTTCCAGCTTTGGTTCAAGATGTTTTCTGCAACTATCTATACTGTAGCTGTAGGGGCACGTTGCTTTTTATGAAATATGAAGAGATCACTTCTTTCCCCATGTCTTTAGACTTAGCCCCTTTTCTGTGCAAACAGGATGGTCAGGGCTTGGCCAAAGGGCTTGTGGATGCATGTGAGGCATTTGCAGCTTCTCTAGTGAGAAGCATTTCCACTCTTTCAAGACTGCTACGTGCTTTCTAAATCATTCATTGCTGTATCAAGCTCTTAATGATCATTCACTGTTAGCTCTGTCTGGGGTTCAGTGCAATACAGCTGGCAAATTTGACTTTTAGAAGGCCTTTTCCTAAAGCACCTGTACTTTGCCTTGTTCTGTCTTGGTCTGTGGATATCAGATTGCGGAATAACGATTCTTCTGTTTTTCAGACACGCCTTGGATATCCGCGAACACTATGAGAGGAAGCTGGAGCGAGCCAATAACTTATACATGGAGCTCAGTGCTATTATGCTGCAGCTGGAGGTCCGTGAGAAGGAGCTCATAAAGTATGTATCTCTGGGCATAACGGCATGCCATGCACATGGCAATATACATACAGGAGAAAAAAAAAACCCTAAACAAACGATGCTTCGTTTCTAAACTGCTTAGTGGTACTTGTAAGTCTGTCAGGGGACACTAAATCCACAGGGTAAAGAAAGAGCAAGCAAAGAGGGCCCCGTTAAGAACAGATTACTGCAGACCACTTAGTGCACATATCTTTACCCAGTGTTTACTGGCTGGGAGAAAGGCACCTTTCCCATTTGGTATTGGTGTCCTTTGGCCCCTTTGTAAAGAGAAAAGCAGTGGTGTTTCTGGACTGTGCACCAGGGCCCTGTTCCAACTGCCTGATCTTTGCAGAGAGAATTTAGAAAATGACTGCGTCCCTTCCCAGAACAGCATGTTGTGTTGCACCCAGCCATAGCTGAGAAACAGGCACGCAGCGTGCTCGCAGCAGAGCTGTGTTTCTGTCCAGCAGGAACTGCAGTTGGATAAAGAGAGAACTGATCTGTTGGTTTTTTGGTTTGTTTTCTTCCCCAATGATTCAGGAGGGAACAAGCAGTGGAAAAGAAGTACCCTGGGACTTACAAACGCCACCCAGTCAGACCAATAATCCACCCCAATACAGTGGAGAAGCTGATGAAGAGGAAAGGGGTCTCCCATAAACCAGGCAGCCAGACTAAACGGTAAGAAGTAACAACCTGGTTCTGTGCCAGAAACCAGCGGTAGATCCCCACTGAGATGAGCGGGCAGCTCACTTCCCTTTGAGTCTGATGACAACACAGGACGAGCCAAAGGGGCGTTCACTCTTGGGCCTGGTCTGATCCTCAGAACCACAATTGTTTAATTATCTTAAGGTAAAAGGGATGAATCCTGCCATCCCTTCTACCTGGGCCATTTGGTCCAGATGATTTTTTCACAGATGATGGTGCTGTTGCAGGAGGTATCTAATGTGTAGTCCTGAATTCCTAAGTGCCCCAGTGAAGAGCAGTTAGATCATCCTTGACTTGGATGGTAATAAGCAGGGTGAGGGATGTGGAAATCAGCTGGTCCTTGGGGAGGATGGATTCATTGTTGAGGAATTAAATTGGGAATTGAGATTTGGGAATTCATACTGTCCTTTCAAGCTACTTCTTTTCTGCATGACTTTCAGAAGGTGAGAATTTTTTTTTTTTCCAGAGGAGTTGTCTATTTTATTCTTCTCTGTGATTTCCAGGAGTTAGAGAGTCCTGACGAGCAGTGAATAATCACTTCTGAATTAATTACCCACATGTGCATCTGAAATGAGCAGGCTGATAACCATCAGCAGATTGGGGCCCTATTGTGCTGAGCATTGTATCTGCACATAGTAAGAGACGTGCCTACACCAAGGTCTTAGGAGGGAGCTATTTTGGGAGCAGAACATCAAAATAAGAGCGGAAAAAGGAGAGTATGTGGCAAGAAAGGAGTGTAGAGCATGATGGGCTGAACAGAAAGGACATTGAGTGGAGAGAATCAAAGGAAACTAAATGCAGAAGTCAAACAGCTGAAGGGGAGGGAAGCCAGCAGGTTTTAGAAAGCAGAGTGTGCTTATGGCTACAGCTGCCTCTTCATCCTGGCTCCGAGCGAATGTCATTTCTTAGTTTGTGGTTTAATGTGTAATTTCTGCTGACTGTCTCTCAGGCCAGACCTACTGAAGTCAGAGGGCATACCCAGCACAGAAGCAGCATCCAATGGCTCACCAGTCTCAGGAAGTCCCAAAATGTCAACACTGAGTGGCAAAAGCCGCTACCGCAGTAAGCCACGTCACCGCCGAGGGAACAGCAAAGGCAGCTACAATGATTTTGCAGGGATCTTGAAAAACCAGCCAGTGCAAGATGATGCACCCCCACCTCCACCTCATAATCATTCTCATCATCCCAGCCTACTACAGCAACATGGCCATGGCCACCACTCACGGCTTCATGCCCACGGACAAGATATTGCCAACTGCGCAAACAACTTAAGGTACTTTGGCCCTGCAGCAGCGCTGCGGAGCCCTCTCAGTAACCACGCGCAAAGGCGGATGTCTGGTTCCAGCCCCGATCTCATCTCCGCTGCCATGGAAGCAGATTGCCGGAGGAATCTGGAGAGCAAAGAAAGCAAAGCTGATCATTGGGAGTGTTGCAAAACAGATCCATATAATTCCTGTCTTCAGTGCAGGGAAGAGGACAGTGGTCAGGTGCAGATGTCATCTGTTGAAACAGGGGTGAGCCATTCTCAATCACCAACATCTGTTTCCCTGTACGAAAATGCGCAGTTCATCGAGAAGATGGAGGAAGAAGGCTTCAGCAACTGTACAGCGGCGTCCGCCCTAGGCACTCCCCAGCACATGGCTTCCTCAGTGCTACCTTGCAAAGCAAGACCCCTTCAAAAGGTAAGGACAAGGCATAGTGATTTGAAAAAAAACCCCAAAGCTTGCTCCTCTTTTCCCTCTCCACCAAAAGAAGACATAGGCTAGTGTCTGGGTATAGGATAGTAGCAAAGCCATGTTTCCCACACACGTAGCAGTAGAGTTACATGTGCAACTTTGTCTTAAAGAGATCTTGCCCATCTGAACTTTGCTTTGTGATCTGGACACACTTTTAAAGTTGGTTTTACTGAGAAGTACTGTAGGTATATCGGAACATACTGCTAATAATGAGGGTTGTCAAATGTCGTTTTGATAGGGCCTAGTTCTCTGTTGCTTGCAATTTAGCCAGTTTTTGTTCGAGCTGAAACTTGGTCTGCTGAATTTTTGTTGTTGAAACAGTCTCAATGTTTTCAAGCCTTTCTCAAAACAAAGGGAGAGGTAAATGAATTCTTTTGGTGATGTTAAATACCACATGACAGTCTATTGCAGTTCTGTGCCTTGGAACAGAAATTCAACATTTGCCATGGTCTTTTGCTGTACTTGCCAGAAACTGCCCCCCTTGACCAACCGTCGTAGTTGTCATGTATTTTGTGAAGATCTTGCAAGAGTCAAAAAGATGTTACAGCATAGTCGTACAGAAATGGAGTTGTTCTTTATTCCTCCTACTTCCATCCTGTTGGTGAGAGAAGTAGGAACTGGTCTTTCAAAGAGCAGGAAAACTGGGTCTGGGTGGGAAAGTGAAGGAAAAGAGGATGAGTACCAGACTAAGAGTGTGGTTTGGGCCCAGAATGAAGGGAGGAAGAGGAGGACCTCATATTGCAAGGGATGGGATGAGAGAGAGGCAGAGTTGGAACTAGGGGTTGGCAGGTTGGAGAGCATAGAAGGAGGCTGTAAAAACCAAGAGTGCAGGGGGTGGTTTTGGATAGGAAAAGGAGAATAAAAAGCTCTAAGCTCACTAAGGTAGAGAATGGAACAAAACTCAAGTTTTCCTTGTTGGTGAAACCCACCAGCAAAGGTGGTGTCATCCCCCATCCTGCTCTGTGGTGGGCTTGTGTAGAAGGGCGTCGAAGTGGTAAAGCCAAAAGTGCCAGATCAGCTGTCGATTTTAGTGCGATAGTAATTACTTGATTTGCTTCTGTAAAAATCCGGAACGTTATGTACTCATTGCCTGCTAAAGTACTCCAGTGTATTTCAAAGTCAATCACTCCAAATTCAGAAATGGCAGCATGACGACTGCCTGAAATAATCCCCCAGTAAGGAGATGGCTGAGTCACTTTTCGCTGATACGTTCTTTTCTTGTCTAGATTGTTGCAGCCTGTTGGCACGGTGACTTTGCCCTGGAGGACCAAGGGGCAACCATATCGTTGCACATTTGTTCTTTCACAAATGTGATAATCATTCTTGTCCTTGTTTTCTGCCAGAGCGGCGATGACTCTTCAGAAGAGGAAGAGGGCGAAGTAGACAGTGAAGTGGAGTTTCCTCGTAGGCAAAGGTAAAAGGTGAATTCACTCTAATCTCTCTTTGGTGGGACAAAGCGTCCCATCTGCCCTCAGTGATCCTCCATGTTCACTTGCTGTTTTCAGCCTGTTCTGAGATGTTTTCTCCAGCTCTGCTGCAGGCTGTTTGTAGCACAACCTGATCACACTTGATAACGTTATTCAGCCTATAAAAATAAGCTGCTGCGTCTGTTTCGGCAGAATCAGACTTACTGGATGTTGGGACCCTTTGTGAACTCTTCCAAACATTGTGTATTAATTGTTGCTGCAGTGGGGCTGACTCCAGTGTCTTTGTAGTTGAATTCAATAGGATTGAAGAGCTAGGTGACAAAACAGCAGGTCAAATTTGGTGGTGGGTGCCTGTAAAATCAGAGACTTGAGGGGACATTGCTACCTAAGCTTACACAACAGTGGGTGTTACAGTCTGGTGCTCAGGAGGGAGGTTGTGGCATTGGTGCAGTAGCTTTATGAAAGCAGCTGCTTGAAGTGCAGAAGTGATCCAGTGGGCAAATAGGTTAAGGGTTGTTAGGAAAGGAGCAGAGAAGAAAACAAAAGCTTGTCTGCTGTTCTATACATGCACGGCACGCCTGTAGCTTGAATCTGAAATGCCACCTTCATTGCTCCAGCTCAAAGGCCATGGTAAAATTTGAAAAGGTACCAAGAAATGTGACAACAATGGTTAGAGATGGCTTCCATAGGAGAAGAGTTTAAATCCACGAGGAACATTTGTCTAGCAGGAGGAGAACTGATACTGGAGGTGCATGAAATTGTAATTTATGTGGAGAAAATAGGCAAGGAATGATTCCTCATGTTCATGTTAGGGACACCTAGTGAAGCAAATAGGGTTTAAAGTGAACAAAAGGAAGTGCTTTTTCCATCCAAAACACTCACGGTGGAAATCAAAATATAAACAAGTCATAGGTGTTAAATTTATGGTGTATAGATCCATCAGTGGCTGTTAAGCACGGCCATCTGGGTTTGATCTTCAGCTCGGAAGTCCGATTTACTGAATGATGCAAAGCAGGAAGATACGCCAGGAGAAAGCAGGCTCTGTCTGCACACCCCATTCTCATACTTTTCTCACATTATTTCTTCCTGCCTCGGGGTGGGGACAGAATGCTGGGCTAGACGAGTTTTCTGACTCATACGGTTCTTGTGTGATTGTTGCTTCTCCTGTGTTTTTTACTAACTTGGGAGACAAATCGCCTTTCCTGAATTCCGTGTGATGACCTGTTGTGGGTCTCCTGGCATGTTCAGTCAGCTGATACTTCGTACCATCACTGCTGAATCCTGGCATGAGGCGCTTTCCACATTCCAGTAACTGAGCTTAATTTTTGAGCACACATACCTAAATTCTAGCCTGGCTGTTGGGATGGCTGCCAGGTGATGCTGATGTCCCCAGTGGAATTAGCTTGAACCCTACAGCACAGCTTTTCTTTAGGAAAAAGGACTGATAAAGAAAAATACGCTGCAGGGCAGATCAGCTAATCTGAATGTGTAGCAGACAAGACCAAATAAGAGCAGATGGATTTAAAGATGCAGATCTTGAACTGAATTGTTCAAAAGGTGGTAGATTTCCATAGCTCCAAGATGTGAAAGGCAGCCCAATGTTTTGCAGAGCTCTTGCAGCCAGCTTTGCAGATCAGTTGTGACTCAGCTGGAGATGTGTTCTTAGGGTGGGAAGAGGCTCTTGGGGAGTTGATGTAAAGGCTTTTCTGGGGATAGGATCTGTTTTGCTCACAGACATTTTTGGAAGAATCAAACCCTTAGCCCAGTGCGGAGGAGCACCAGGCGGTGTCGAGTGTGCTGTGCCTGAGCGGTATCTGCTTGGGAGAACAGGGTTGAGCATCTTGGGCTGCCTGTTACAGGGAGCAAGCTATCTTCTTGGTATGCTGAAGATGCCAGCTAAAAGTACAGGTGCAAAAATCTGCTCTGCGTTGCATGCTTTGGAAGGGAAGATGAGAGCTTTGCCAGGGGGACCTTGGGTAAGGATGCGGCCGCCACTCTGCACTCACGGCACTGCTAACACGGTGAGGGTTTTGATTGTGATATAGGTCTTGAAAGCAAGCTGCCTGGTCCCCTTGCCACACTTCAGGAACAGAGCTCCTTACATCTGAACTGTAACACCGTGCTGGTTTGGCAGCGGGCTCCTGGGGCCAGGCTCACCCAGGGCTGAGCAGGCACCAGGAGCGGGGTCTGTCGAGGCCGGTGGTAGCAGGGTAGCCGAACACTGCACCCAGGAAGTTGCTTTTCCTCTGCAATCAGAGGCACTGCGATACAAGCTGAACTGCTCTCCTGGTTTGCAGACCTCACCGCTGCATTAGCAGCTGCCAGTCCTACTCGACCTTCAGCTCGGAGAACTTCTCTGTGTCAGATGGAGAGGAGGGGAACACAAGCGATCATTCGAACAGTCCAGATGAGCTGGCCACCAAGTTGGAAGATGAGCTGGCTGAGAAGCTGGAGGACATGTTGTCCCAGACTCCAGAGATCCCCATTGAAATCTCCACCCAGTCTGATGGGCTTTCAGACAAAGAGTGTGCTGTGCGGAGAGTCAAGACTCAGATGTCTCTGGGCAAACTTTGTGCAGATGAACACAGCTGTGAGGTGAGTTATAAGTTTAGCAATCCCCGTTTCCTTCTTTTGAGTTTAAAAAAAAAAAAAAAATGTTATGGAAAGGAATCCTAGGGTCAGAAAGTTGGATGACTGCTTAGGAAACGCTGTGGTAGATGTACCACAGCAAAGCAACTGTAGTACGTGTGCCCAGCAGTACGTGTGCCCAGTCTTCCTTGTACTTGCCCAGATGAGTAGATGGGGGGAAGCAGGACAAACAATGCTGAACATAATTTGCCAGTCAAGATGAGTGTAATACTGGGAGGCTGTCGGATTTGCAGTTGCATTAAGTGGGATAATTAATAGTAGATTATGAAACAGAAGGGATATAAACTGCCTTGAACTTATCCATCGGCAGCCTTGCTGACGAAACTAGAATAATTTTCTTCCGTTTACTGTCTTTCAAGCGTTTGGGAGGGGTAGGGCAAAGCCTGCTGCACCATCTTCTCATAACTCTGTGTTTGCTAGTGCTCCGAGCAGATATTTTTCTGCTGTCCCCTTGTTGAAAGGAGACAAGCGACCTTTGGTGGGGCGATGGTGTGTTGTTTCTGCCTCCTACATGCTGCTGATCTCTCTCAGACCTTTGCCTGTCGTTACCAATTGGGACGGCGTTGTTGATCTGCAGCACAGGAATGTTGCTCACATCTTCCCCTTTCCTTTTGCTTTGCAGAACCCATCACAGTTTGGGGAATCAGACTGTGACTCTTCTGAAGGGGAGTGTTCTGATGCCACGGTCAGGACCAATAAGCCCTGCAGCTCTGCTACTTGGTAATACAGATCTCCCCCAAAGCTTCCTGATACTGGCATTTTGATTTCCCTGAGATTCCACTTCATTCCCCTTCATCACACTTTACAGGAAGAGAAGATGCTTCTCCTTCCCACCCCAGGAGTGATTTGCAATAACCCGAATCTCTGGAAAATGTCCAAATGAAATTAATTCTCTTTGAGCATTTCAATCAAGAATGGCAGGGATGTATTTTATTGAATAATCTAGTTACTGTAACATGGATATTTATTTTTTTGACATTTTAACACTTTTTACTGTAAAGAGTGGATTGTATTTATAGACACAAAGACTTGTTGCAAAAAAAAAAAAAGAAGTTCAGAAAGCAAGCACATTACAGAGAAACATCCTGGGAGTCCTGCCTGGACAGCTTTGTGTACAACCACGGGGGGATTCTCTTGCTGCTTTCACAGGGGACCAGGCCTTGTGGCCCTGAAGATTGGAGAACAGATCAAGAAAACTAAACCACTAGTCTTATCGGAGGAGGAAGCATAAAAAGACCTTACTATAGGGTAACCTGTGAACAAAGCGTATTCAGTATAACCAGCTGGGTCATTTTTAATCAGAAGGTGGACGTGTTCCTGGAGGGAATTGGTGCCGAGGTGCTAACATCCAGGGTCTTCTGAGTCGATACATCCCCAGGAATGTAATAGTGGGTTTTATTTTAAGGGTTTTTAGTTTCTTTTTTTAATCAGCATTTTGTTGTGAGATCCTGCAGATGTATTCTAACCTCGTCCTCTCGAGAATTGGTATAAGAGCACTTCTTAACATCATCCTTGCTTCACTCTGGCAGCGCTGATCTCCAGTTGAGCAGGGAACCTCTTTCAGACACAGTGTGCCATTTCCCAGTTTACTTCCTCCTCTTACCTCCTGCCTGTTTTGGTCAGTCAAAGAAATCAATCAAATCAGTGTTGGAAAAGCAAGAACTTGCAAATGGTGGAAAGCACATTCTGCAGAGCCTGAGCACTCTTCTGGGGAGGAAACTTGGAGATGCCGGTACCGGACTTGGAGCAGCAGTCTCTCACCTACAGCAGTGTCGATAACCAGCAGAGAGCTGTGTGTTGAGGGGGAAGACTGGGAATCGCTGTCCTCAATAAGAGCATCAGCCCTGCTCTGTCTCCTTATTCACTGTACGTTCCTGAAAGCATTAAGAGCTGCCTGCCCTTCATGTCAGGCTTGGTGCAAAATGGGTTGCACGGGGAATCTCGATGGTGGCTGTGGTGCAGCTGTGTCTCGGGTGTTCCCTGCAGCCGCAGTGTCTCCTTCAAGCTGAAACTGCAGGTTAAAGTCAGGATAGCACTGGTATGCAACAGGCCGAGGCATTGCAGATGAGAAAAATTTGTTTTCTGATAGAACTCATAGTGCCTTCCCTTCAAACACTACTCTTCTAAATCGATATTTAAAGAGAACAAAATGATAGAGCCTGTTTCCCTCCCCCCTTCCCTTCCCCACCTTAGCTGATGTCCCTCTGCAAGAGCTCTCAGTCTGCCCTTCCCAGCACGCTGGCTGGGTGCTGCTGGGTGCTGCTCCGCAGCCGGGCACGCCAGCCTGAGGTGAACGGCAGGAACGGACCGTGGACAGGTACTTCTGTTGCTTCGTTTGTTTACATTTTATGTTAAAATATTGATTTGAATTTAACTGTGGTAATTTATAGCCTCATGGCAAAATGAAGGAAAATGTCTTACTTATACAGAGAGCAGTATTGTATGAGTTAAATTATCCCGTATTTTAAAATTTTTGTAGCTGGACTACAGACAGATCTTAAGTTATGATGTTATTTTATTATTTATTATCATTTCTGTCGATCAGAAGGTTGGCTTCACCGCTAGCACAATTGTAATCTGTTTGTGTGATGTTACCTTCTCCCTGGCCGCTGCGGGGGGGTGGGAGCAGAGCTGGTCTCAGGGGCTGTCGGTAGCTGCCCGCCTCTCGCCGTTCCCAAGGATGCTGTTATACTAGGGTGGAGAACCTCTCAAGGCTGCTCTGAGAGGGATGGATGCAGTCAGCTCCCTGGGCCCGCTGATGCTCCTCCTGGTCCGTGCTGCAATTTTCTCATCTTGCCGGTAGAGTTGGCAGCCCCTGAGCTGGTGGGGAATGGTGATCAGGGAGCAAGCAGCTTTTGAACTGACTGCAAAGTGAATAACTGTGACGAGATCCCCTGGCAAGAGCATCCAAAAGGACAAGCGGAGAGGAAGGCAATCGCTCTGGGCAGTGGGTACAAGATCAGGGGCGGCCAGCAGTGGATCCACGTGGTGGATCACCCATGCGGGACCAAACAGGCTGCTGGAGAGGAGAGGGAGCGACCAGCTCACCCCTGCCTGCAGCAGCGATACTCAGCTCTGGGCGGAGGCAGAATGCGGAGGGGAACAAAGCTCATTTCTGGCTTATGTCTTGTTTCCTCTCCCCATCCTGCATTCCTCCTCCCAAATGTCCTCTGTCTCTTGGCCAGCAGCAGGAGGAGGTGGCAGGGCCAGAGAAGGCTTTGCCGTCGTGGTGTGTGAGGGGTTTTGGTGTGGAAAAGGCGGTGCAGATGGTTACTCAGGAGGCAGGAGGCCGGGTGCAGGCATTTAGCAGTGGAGGAACTGTGTGCACGTAACGTACGCACACAAAGACTATAAAGTGAGGTTGAGAACTACCATCAAATGTCCCCCATGGCAGAGGACGCCAGGTCCCTAACAGTAAGATCCCAGAGGGGTTTTGGTAACTGTGCTCTGCTTAGAGCTCCTCCACCATGCTATGAAGCTCCTCTGGGCTTGCAGGGCAGTGTAGAAGCTTTGATATGTGGGATTTTGGGACCCTTCTGGGCCAGCTGTCCTGGGTATTGTGTGCTGATACATCCTTGTCTGGGGATGTGCTGGCCCATCTGCAGCCTGGAAAAACAAGAGCTGAACCCTTCAGGTTGTCTGCTGCCACATGTAGCTCTCGTTTCTTTACATGCCTGGGTTGTTGCACTGTTAGGGTCCAGTGTCCCTCTGGGACTGCCACTAGGGCTGCCCCCCCCTTGCCCAAAGGCATCCCCTGTACCCATGGGGACGTAACCCCAACCTCCCCACCTCGTGTCCTCGGCTGTGTGCGGGCAGGGGTGGCTCAGCAGCCCCCCACCTTCTGGGGCAGCTGCTGTCAGTTCTGCGGGGGGTTACATAGGCATTTTCCTCCGTGAAACCTCCCCACATCGCTGCACAGGCACTGCTGGTGTGGTCCCTCGCCCTTTCTCTCCAAGCAGGGTTTGGGGCCGAGGCGTCCATCGGCCTGCTTCCTCCTCGCAGCAACGCCGTGTTGGCGGGACAGAAGTAAACCGTGGGTTCCCTTTCCAGCATCCTGACTACTCTGATCCGGTTGTCACGGCCGCTGCTGACAGCTCCTGAACACACTAGCCTAGAATTTCTCCCACAGCTGAACGTTGCCTTCCCCACTGTTGTGTTAAGTAACCATTTCATCTTGGCCCTGTCCAGTAGTGTTCATCTCTCTCCTCCTTGCTCTGCGGATTCCTGATACAAACTTGATTTTATTTTTTTTTGTATTGAACAGTGTACAGTGATGGAAACAAGAATGACTATCAAAGCAAACAATGCATGGAATAAAAAGCCAGTGTACTTCAGTGCTTCTCAGGCTGGTCTGGTGATCTGGGAATGGTTTCTCGTGTATGTTGGGATAATGTCATGAAGCCTTTTGAGAATGAACACTGTGTTAGCGAGCAGCTTCTTGTTACTTGTCTCTGAACCCAGTTGAACTGGAACTACTGGGAGCTCCAAGCAGCCTACCAAGCACCCAGGTGTCCCTAAGCGGTGGCTTGTGCTCTTGTCAAGTGAGTGATTTCTGGGATGTGAGCTGGGGGATTGAATCTGCAACTGCGACTTCTCATCCTGGGAACCTTGCTGTCCCACTCTGTTCCAGCCCTGCCGGTGGGGAAGGTGCTGAAGTGGTTGAGGCAGTCACTCTGCCAGCTTCCCAAGTGTTGCAGGGTCTCCCATCTGCCCCCTTCCAGGTCAGAAAGTTTACTTCATTCTCTGAGCGGAAGGTAAAGTCACAGAGAGTAGAGCAAGGAGGTGCAAATACCAAAAACCCAGGAGCATAGTTACCATCCCTGGGGGGCTGCTGTTCTCTGGCAACTGGGACAGAGCCTACCTGCTTATTGGGAAACCTAGTTGTGTGTAGGTTTAAAAGTGCTTCTCAAGGACAAATCACTGCCAGCCAGACACAGCTGTTCCTTTTTGCCCCCTTTAGTCTTTGTGGGGCATAGCAGCCACCGACAGACCTCAGGAGCAATCTCATGTGTTCTGGCATACGAATGATACATACATAGCTGGCCCCAAATCCTGAACGATTTTGCTGCAGGGTGTGCTTACCTGACATCTGAATGAGAAGAGTCTTCTACAACCATGCAGGCTCTCCTATGGAAGGGGCAGGGACCCTGAAACATCATCGCTTCTCAACTTGTCATTTGTACCACTGCTCCTAACAGCACAGAAGTGCAGGGTTTGTCATTTTAGGCCAAAAATGCTAAGGAAATATGGGTTTGGAGAGGGTGGGGGGGTGGCGTAGGGCCTGCCTAGAGCTAGGAAAAGCTGCTGCTGGAGTGGCGCTGAAAAACACACTGTGTGCTGTGGACTCCTCGGTGCCAAGGGATGAGGCTGGGCAGCAGCCTACTGCCACCTCCCTCGCACCATCCAGACCAGCTGGGCTCCCAAAACTGGACTTGGTGGGAAGTGCGGGAGCCCAAGGGAAGGCTGGGACTTGGGCTGGTAGGGAGACGGGGGAAGTGTGGTGCTTGCCCCCATGTTCAAGAATGGCGAGGGACTAAGGGGTTCCGATCTGCCTTCCTCATGGGATGCTAATACTCCTGATTTATCCCCCTACCCCGCATTGCTACTGCATTTGCAGTGGGCTGGCCCCACCAGGGAGCCAGGCTGACTTAAAGGAAACAAGCACGTTAACTGAAGTGTTCACAAAGCCCTTGTATAGCGCTCGCCATGCAGACACACACACAGTTAAACATTCATTAAAAAAATAAAGAGCCTTACACCTTTCCTCTTAGACGAGGAGAACGATTAAAAACTGCAGTTGTCTTTGGTCCAGGGTGGCACAGAGCATGCAGAATATAACCCGCAGGAGCAGAAGCCTGCAGCTCTTGCACAGCAGTTCCCCAAAGTCTGGGGCACTTGAGCTCTCACAAGCTCTTTTTGCCATTCAGGAACCGAGCACACTTGTCTTCATCCAGCTTCAAGTGCTTCTGGCTGTATTTCTTGATGAGGGCCCCCGGTATCAATGCTGCCACAGCCATCGCAAGCAGTTTGAGCAGCGTGTCCCAGGAGAAAATGGCATCCAGAGAGGTGATTTGTGACAGAATGGCTCCTGTCTGCACACAGATGAAATTATATGGTGTGAGACCTGAAAGAATCGGAGCAGGCAAAAGCCTGTTAGCATCCCCCTCCTGTAAAATTACCTCAAATACATACCCGAGGGCAGGCACAGGGGTCTGTGTTCATAACGGAAAGATCAGGCTACAATTCAAAAGTTTGCTGCGTTGGTGACGCACACGTGTTTGCAAAATGCTCCGCATAGAAGGGCAAACAGTTAAACTGGGGGGAGTCACAGCCCCTCCACCTTCCCCAGCTCTGTGGGCTACCCAAGGCTTGGTGGTGAGGAGAGCGGCAATGTCACACCGCCCCGCAGCCAGTCTCCCAGGCCTTACCGATGAGAACAGACAAGAAGAACTGGGACACGGGGATGTTTAAAATGGGAGCTGAGAGATTCAGAAACCAGTTTGGTGTCATGGGGAACAGCCTCAGGAACAACAGGAAGAAAAATAAGCAGCTCCTGTTCTCTTCTACCTGCCACGAGAAACATTCCACATTATTTCTGCTCTTCAGGCAACAGCAATGTTACAGTGTCCACAATGCTCAAGTGAATTAAGTTTTTTAACATGCCACAATGTAACATCAGACCAGAATGGATGAAAAGTGGCAGCTTTCTGTATGTATGGGAGCCTAAGGGTGAGCCAGCCCCTTCCACGCAAGCAACGAAAATGGGATCTAACCTGAACCAAGAGATGGGGAAGCCAACAGCAGAACCACCTCTACCTGTACAACACAGCGCAGGGCGGGTGGAAGCAGTTCTGGAGCACAGGGGCTTCCCCATCAATCCATTACCTTCTGATTTTCCTGGGGATCTGGGATTTCCCATGCACCCCCCTTTTGCAAACAGGCTTGCTCCCAAGAGAGCACTCTGCTCTGAGGCGGCGTCACAGGAGGCCCTTGATGGGCCTGACGCATCCCCTGCACATACTCGGGTTTTTTCCTAACTCAGCCCCAAAAGGCAGCCCTGCCTGGGGCGCGTGCTGGGAGCCGGCATCGCCGCGGCCGCTTACCTTTCTTTGCAGCAGAGCCACTTTGTCAGGGAAGTAGTAGACGACGAACTGCTTCCCGAAGGTGCCGGAGAGCAGGTAGCAGAGCGTCGCTCCCACAGAGGTCAGGGCCGAGCACAGCACCAGCCCCGTCCACGGCCCGAAGAGTGCTCCAGCCAGAACGTTCTGCCAGGGCGTGACACCGGCTGAGCGCCCGGGGACAGACACACGGACACAGACACCCACCCGCGTCCCCTCAGCCCCGCTGCCTTCAGCCTCGGTGGCTCCGGCTTCTCCAGGGCACCGGGCGGCCCCGGCTATCCCGGGCAGAGCTGGGGCTCGCCCAGCCAGGCCCTGCCCCTTGCCCCAGCAAGCAGCGCCCGTTCC